GATGAGTTTTATTTAAACTTGTGTGTCTCTGTTCAGGAGCCCCACCCAGTGCGCCTGTCTCAGGAGGAAGTGGAGAGGAGGAAGGCTCAGCTGGACTCGTGTCCTCTCAACATGTTCGAACACCTCAGCGATCTCAAGTCCTTCTTTGTTGAGGTTTGATCTCTAATTTACTCACCAATAAAAGGGAAATATCCTCTCTACCTGTCAAATGCTGTAAACTAAAACACAACACAGATCAGGAATAATCATCATCAGTTACCTTGAATTCTTCATGAAAATATCTCCCCGCCTGTCGTGTTTCAGGGCATCAGTGACAACGTGCCGCTGGTTAAAGCTGTGGTGCCAAAGAATCAGTCCCATTCCTTCATCACTCAGGGGAGCCCTGACACCATGGTGAGCCTCAGTTTGATTCTGTATTGCTCATTTTTGTTTCAATAACACTAATATAATATTTTTATCACCACAAAGTTTTCTCTTGCCTTGTTGTTAAAGTAGAATTCCAGAAAAAATGAGAAGGAAAAAGAACAAGGCGTTAGACGGTGATGCCTTTGTTGTTTGTGTTCTGTCTCCAGGTAACAGTGAGTCAGAACTGTCTGGTCGGGACTCATGGGTGGCTGCCTTACAACAAGAACATCTCCAACTACTTCACCTTCATCAAGGACCCAACAGTGTCCAACACCAAGTGAGAACGCTGCACCACAGTACATATGAAAATGCAGCACGTTTACAGCATATTAACTCACCGGCAATATGATGTTATGCTGCATTTAGCACCATTTTATGTCCTGTAAATTCACCCTGAACTCTCTCACCTTCTTTCCCTTCTGCCCCCTCTGCCTTCCTCTCCCCATGTTCACCCAGAACCCAGCGTTTCCTGTCAGGACCCTTCGCCCCCGGTGTGGAGGTCACAGCAGGACTGTTTGTGGTCTCCCATGACGGGAAGCTGCTCTTCAGCGGCGGCCACTGGGACAACAGCCTCCGGGTCACCTCGCTGGTCAAGGGCAAAACTGTGGGACAGCACATCCGACACATGGGTAAAGAAAAGTCTGCATCTGGACTCGCTAGATCCAGTTCCTGTAAATAAGCACAGCAGTTGTTCTATCGTCTGTATGTTTATATGGTAAAACAGAAGACATTGTTCAGACTTGTCTCTTTGTGTACGTGTATGTATTTATGTTTATCTCTCCTTCAGACATTGTGACCTGCTTGTCAACAGACCACTGTGGCATCCACCTGATCTCTGGCTCCAGAGATACAACCTGCATGGTGTGGCAGGTTCTGCAGCAGGTCAGGACACAAACTTTATTACCTATTTTGCAAAGCTGTTGTTATATTTAATCTCAATTTGGATCCAAATGTTGTTAAAATTCATAGAAACAATCTAAAAAAATGTTTCAATCAATTCCAAAACTAACTGGTATCCAGTGAAGGCCAGCAAGAATTGGAGCATTGTGGTCACTTCTAAAAGGACAACAGTTAAAGTAGCAGTATTATGGATTATTTGAAGCTGATGAATGCTTCTTTTATTGACACCAGAATAAACTGTTACAGTAATCATGTCTGGAGGTGATGGATGCTTAAGTATTCTTTTCTAAGTCCAAGAAGGAAGGAAAGGATCTGACCTGAGAGATCTATCTCACCTGAAACACAAACTAAAGCTGCTCTGAGATTTTAGGCCACTTTTATAGTGTGCTGGGATTATGGGCTTAAACCAGGTATAAAATTATCAATGTCATTTCCTGAGCTAAGAGGAGTGATTATGATGACTTGTGTGGAGTCATTAAGACCCACACCTGAGGCGAGCAGCAGGTCAGACTTTAACCAGAGCAGCTTCAGTTCCATTCATAAAGCAGTCAGTTGTGATGAGAGTATGATTTCTAACATCTCAGATAAAAATAGCAGCTCAGGTCTAAAATTACTTCTAATACTTGACTCAGGGGAGGGTTTCTAAAGATGTCGGCAGTGGCAGGTTTGCAATAGTAGTGACATATGACAGAGGATAAGAGTGATTTATGATAACCTACACATCTGGAACAACTGTCTCAATAACTTACTTTAAAAATCATGTAGGAACACAATTATCTGTGTAGATGAAAAGATTCACAACTGCAGAAGTGCGTAATAGGTTTTTCTAAGAGATGTCTTTGAATGAGTCAGCCGGGAGGGTGGACAGAATAATCTGCCCAGCTCTCTGGAGTCTGAGGAAATGAGCTGTCTGTCTGCTAAGACTTCATCATGACAATAAATTAGACATTCAGCACATTTTCCATTGTTACAGTGGTAATAAAAATAAATGTCCAGTATTCATTAGTGGGCTTTACTTACCATAGAAGCTCATTGCATGTTGATACCTACAGTCTGTGTACTTTAATACAGATAACCAGTTAATACAAGGGTCGCTCCAGCTTCACTGATCCAGCTGTGACCCCGTCTCTGTGTCAGGTGATGTGATCCATTGTGTTTGGTTCGTTTGTTCTTCCCTGCAGGGCGGAGCTCCTGTTGGTCTCTATCCCAAACCAATCCAGGTGTTGTACGGACACACGGACGAGGTGGTCAGCGTCAGTATCAGCACCGAGCTGGACATGGCTGTTTCCGGATCGCGGGTAAGAGCACAAACCAGACTGCTGCCGATCGGAATCCACTGCTGGTTTTCTTGTCATCCCGTCCATTGATGTGAATCGGTCGATAAATATAGATTTTAAGTCTGAGAATAATAAAGATTACGGTGCCGCGCTGGTGGTCGGACAATGTGTGTTATTGAAGAACTATTCAAATCACATGCTGAGGTAATGAGCTGGAAAATGGGGTTCAGACTGAAGGTCAGAGGATTTGTGTTGTGCAGGTCTTTGAAGGCAGAGAGCTCTGTCGCTTTGGTTATTTGGGATTTCATCCTGTACTCACTGAATTTTTCGAACTATAAAGTGGCTTCAGCTTCAAGTGGGCACTGTAAGCTCATAGTTATTGTCTGATTATTCCAGCTTGTACAACACAACCTGGGTATGTAGCCTTTCATGCAGGCTGAGCTTCCTTTTTTATTGAAAATGTGTTTAATTTTTCACGCAGATGAGTTATTGATTTTTCTTTGTTACGAACACATATATGGATATTGTTTGATCTTCAATTTCCCAACAGAAAAATGTGTTCGATTACTGTGAGTCTTTGTTAATGACCAACCTCAGAGTGTCGACTAATGCAGCCCTGTGTGTGTTATTAACTGCGTGTCCTCTCTCGGTGCTGCAGGACGGGACGGTGATCATCCACACGGTGCGTCGGGGTCAGTACATGCGCTGTTTGCGACCGCCGTGCGACAGCTCCCTGCCGCTGTCCATCCTCCACCTGGCCGTGTCCTGGGAGGGCCACCTGCTGGTTCACACCTGCCTGGAGGGCAAAGCAACACTCAAGGTGCCTCCACGGCTTTCACACAGACGCTGCATGAAAAGAAGGGAGACTCTGAATAAGACGACTGAATCTCACTTTTTCTGAATGCACGTGGAAATAAGTGGATCAGAGTTGTGTGAAGGGAAAATGTCCATAAGATGCAACACTTTTTTCTTTTGTGGAGTTTCCAGAAAGTGTCCAGTTCAAAAGCAACTACGCTTTCTGTTGCTGGCTGGACCAACGCTACACGCTTTCAACCATTTTTTGTGTTATCTCACAAGTTATGTAAACTTCCGTAAACATGCACCAATATGTGAACTACACTGTGATCTCACCTTTTTTTTTTCCCTCCTCTTCTCAGGATAAAAATGCCCTGCACTTATACTCTGTCAATGGGAAGCACCTGTGCAGTGAGCCTCTGAAGGAGCAGGTGACAGATATGTGTGTTTCAGGGGAGTACGTCGTCATCGGCAGCGAGCAGGGATACCTGTCCATCCGTGACCTTTACAGGTAAACTACCACATGTCTGTTTTTAGACGTCAGTGGACTTGCTTTTTACAACTGTCATTATCTTAAAGTTTCTACCTCTCAGCCCCCAGAATGTGTATTTTAGGTTTCAGCTCAAAATGCTCCACAGATTATTCATTTCTTTCACCATCTATGTAATACATCTGGTCAGGCCCTCTCTCTGTGTCTCTTTTGTTCAATTAGTAGCTACGAGAAAATCAGACGAGGAGGAGCCAAAGTTTATCCTATTGTGAAATCACGATGGGCTTAGAGTCACGTTTTCTGTTTTGTGGAGAAAAGAAAGAAACAAGGGGATGGTTTTCGCTCATGTTTTGTGGGTTTATGTTCAAAACTGGCCTTGGACATATAATAAGCTCCCTTTAACATCAAATCTGAGTGCATCTTGGGGATTTCGGTCTCATTAACCGTTGCCTTGTTTCTCCCGCGCAGCCTGTCTCTGTGTGCCGAGCCTATGGCCATGCGGGTGCCGGTTCGCTGCGTCTCGGTCACCAAGGACCAGAGCCACGTGCTGGTGGGCCTGCAGGACGGCAAGCTGATCATCGTGGGCGTGGGCAAGCCGGCGGAGGTAAAGAACTCGCTGCGGAACTACATCGCTCAGAGCCTTGAGGGATCGCCGCTCATGGCTTCCCCGCTGCTGGCCCCGCTTCGAGCTCGCTCGCCAACCCGCCTGCTGCACCAGCGCGACCAGCTGGTGTTCAGCCCCACCTCCAGCTCCCATAAACCCTAGCAGCTCTAGATCCTCCCTCCCCTTCCGTTGCTGTAGATCCGACACTCGCACCCTCACACGAAACCCGCCGCGCACATCGCCCACGTCGCCTCTCCGTCTCAGGGATGGTTGTCGCCCACAGTCAATCATTTGGCTTCACTCCTCCCTTATCAAACACACACACACTGACATCTGAGCCACACCGATTTAACACATTCCTTCAGCACAGAACCACAACTGTGATACGAAAACGACTCTTTGTGCTTACCTCATTAGGCTTTTTCAAAAACATTTGGCATCCGTGCAATATCTGACTTGATTTGGCCGTCGACTTAGGAAGAACTCCATCCGATGCTGTTTACCTGAAGTGTTATTATGCTTCGTGTTTGAGTGTGCTCTCCAAACTGTAACAAATATGCTGTGAAACAAACTTAACACTAATTAACGCTTCTGCAAACTCAAGCCATATTACCAGTGTAGCTACAATCTAATAACACTAACTAATAATCCTGCGCCAAGATAGACGTTGTTGTTTTGATAATGTAAATAGCGTGTTAGTGCAGACGTAGGAGTTTGATACAGGCAGTCTCCCTCTGAATAGTTTGATCTGAATCGCCGCACCTTCCTGCTTTTCATCTTTCTTTTTTTTTTGTTCAGATTGACTCACGCCAAAGTGAATCAAACTTTTATTTTTATTTTTTTTCCTTTATTGCCTCACAGGTCAATCAAGCTCCAATGAACTAATCAATCACTCATGAATCATATCCCTCCTCCTTTTTCCCCTCCTCTCCTTTTGTTTCCTTTGACTTCACGCTTTTCTTTCCCCCACTCTCCCCCCCTCCCTCCCTCCCTCCCTCCGTCCTACTTCCTACTTCCTCCTCCTCTTCCTGCACTCTTCCCAGATGCGTTCGGGCCAGATCACACGGAAGCTGTGGGGCTCCAGCAAGAGACTGACTCAGATCTCCTCGGGGGAGACAGTGTACAACACCCAGCACGACCACCACTGACCCATCCCTAAACCGTCCCCTCCGAGCTCATCCCACATTCCCAGTTCACCTCCATGTCTGTCCGCCACCAAACAGGTTGCCTCATTTTTTATCTGGTCATCCTGAGGAACTCCGTTCAGTTCCTCCTTCATCTTTCCACGGTTTAGCAGGTGGTGGGTCGTGGGTTTGAGGTGCAAAAGCATCACCAAGTCTGCACGTGTGTGTTTTCCGGGTGCGTATTCCTGCTTTGAACCGACTGTACGGCGCTGGCGCTCTGGTTCCAAAGCAGGAGTAGCATCGGCCCGAGCAAAACCACACCATCACCCACCGCCCCTAAACACGGCTTCCCTCCTCATCCCTCGGCCAGTCCTCGTTTTTACATCACACCACGCCCGATTTGATGGGATCGGTCAAATAACTGCTCTCCTGTGTGTGTGTGAGCGCATGTGCAGCGTATTGCCATGCGCGATCTGAAAATATCGTTTAAAGTGGCCTTTTTGTCCCCCTTAGTTTGCCTTCGGTGCAGACAGGCGGGCCTGTGCTCTGTAGGCCGAGACTTGTCATGGTTGCCTCAAAGCTGCCACCCAGCAGCCTTATGCAGTAAGACGGCTCCACCACTCACAAGACCAAACTCTCTGCCTTTTCTATGCGTTTTTATATGTGAGCGCGTGCGTGTTTGTTGTCATGTTTTTTTTTTTTTTAAATGTGTGTTTTCAGTTTTTGTGTTGTTTTTGTTTTTTTTGAGGAATTAATGCATGTGCCCAGCAACCTGGAGTCTGTTCATATGCATGGCAGTTTGGTTCGTTTTGAGATTAGCTAGGAAACCGTGAGAATGGCGGAGTTGTGTGAATTTTTGTATTTGGATATAGCCGACTTGTTTTGGTAGAGAAACGTCCGAAACACAAACGAAGATAGCATCTGTCTTTAATGTTTTAATGTTAGCACATCGTTTAAGATCTAGTTTTGTAAAAAATAAAACAATAAATCACTACACTACATGTAAAACACTACATTCTCAAACCCGACAAGCTTCCATGTGAAGATTTATCACAGAAAAAACGCAACTTTAAAGTCTCTCCATGCTTCATTGAATGTGTTTAAGTTACTTGAATCCGTGTTTATTTATGAGGAAAGGTAGCAGTTTTTTAATCACACATTGTCTCTTGAATACGGACGCCAGTGTGGCACGTTTGAAACTCTTTTGACTGTTCAGGCACCTGTAAAAGAAGGAGAAAGAAGAAATCCTCAAGGGCTTTATGAGATGTCAGTGTTAACAGCAATACAGCTCCTTCATCGTGCGCCTGTCGGTGCTTTCTTCCTGTCCCGCGTAGACCGCTCAGCCAGCCCTCTTATCTCCAGTCTTCCTATAGCTTAACTGGGACAGTAAATGTACCCTGACTCCCTCGTTCTGCCCCCGAAGGCCTTTAGCTCCCATCATAGCTTCAAACCATCCTCCTCTGTTGTGTTTTACATCTCATCCTCCTCCCTGCTCTTTGTGAAGTGACTGATTTCAGAGGAGTTGTTCTTTTACGGGGCATCGAGAGCGTTGCCTTGCTTCGGTTGGAGTTGTGTTGTTCCCGTGTGCGTGCGTGAATGGGATTTCTTTACTCTGTAATACGAGAGTCACACCAACGCCACAGCAGGAAGATGCTGTGGGTGAAACTGAGTGATTCATATTTTTGCACCATACCTGTGTGTGTGTGAGCGAGTGTGAGGACATGCCAGTGACGCATGGGGTTTTGTTTTGTATTGCCAAATATTTGACTTCATCATCCACATTGATGTCTCCGATTCTGTGATTGTTTTAGTTCGACCGTGGGTTCGGCGTTGGACACAGGGTTGCTCTAACGGTTGTCTCTTTCTTTGTTTCTCCCTGATTTTGTATTTTTGATTTATTTAAAAGTCACAGCAAGTTGGCGCGCAAAGACCAATCTGTGTCCTTCTCTAAGAGATTTCTGTGAAAGGTGCATACAGTGTTTTGTCAATGCAGTTTTTTTTTTGTTCTTTTTCATTCATCCACATTTGTCATACAGACAAAAGACCACTGTTTGAGTTGTTCCACGACTGCAACAAACGGAGTGCCTTTATCCCAGCGTGGTGTTAACGTAGAGCTAGATTCCTCTCGGCTTACTGTCTCCCGACCTTAGCGTAAATCAAACGAAAGCAGCATTCCACCAGTTAAACCTCCACAGTTTTGACGGGAACCAAGAACGTAGGACTTCAAAGAAAAAAAATCAAAAAGTACTATTTTGTGTCTTAGCTACATTCTCTGTGACTGTCACCAAAATGGATGTGTGTATATCTGTGATTATTTATGAATACGGTATATAATGTACAGCATGATTTTTATTTCAGCGTCTTTGAAATGTACTTTTGCACTTTCCAGGTACTAAATTGTAACAAATTGTTTTAACTCGGCTCCCTAATCTGTACAAACTGCTTTGTATACACAAGTGGAAAATGATCATTAAAGTCTTGTCTTTAAATTTAACCGTGAATTTGTTGCTCATCTGTTCTGTACGAATGCACAAAAGGACACAGAAACATGCAGATATGTAGTTTTATTCACACACAGAAGCAGATGGTGCGGTAAGACGCCCAAAGTTATGAAAGTGAGAAACATCTAGAAGGCTTTCCTCTCATGTTGTGTCTCTTTGTGGTTTTCATGCAGTGATCTGATACGAGCAGATGGAGGCTCTCTTCAGTTCACAGTCGGCGGCAGTCCACCAGCTCTCATCTGCAAAAGTGGGTAGGGGCAGATTTATTAAAGACGCAGGGCAAAGATTACTTGAATGCAATATCTTTTTTTTTTTTTTTAAATCTCTTATCAGCTTTCTACGACGTAGCCGAACAGTGATCTGGACTTCTCCGATCATAAACCTTTAATTAATATTTACTTTATGGCACATTTACGTAACTGAGAGATTAAGACAATAAATGTGAAAATGAAGGTAAACCGACACTGCTATGTAGTTTATTAAACCAGCTCAAGCGATAAATAGACCACTTTAATGACCAGGGTGGCACAAACAGTAGATTAGATTAGTTTTATCTGGGTTATTCAAACACACAGCACTTTTACTATCATGTCCTTCTGTATTTTCTGAAAGGGAGGTATTAAAGCAAAGCTGTGCAAAGTCAAAAGACTCCTGTAATACTGAACAAGAGTGTCTATGATGATGATCTTGTGCTGTTTTGTTTCCCTGCGTGTTGTATCTGTAATGTATGAGTGCAGTTCTTACCTATCTTGAACATCTCCACACAGACAGGTTTGTCAGTGTGAACGTTAGGGTGACCCGGCATCCAGTCGCTGTAGCTCCACTGTGACCCGTCCACCCACGACGCCTGCTGGTTCTGAGGTGTGCAGCACACATACAGCATGTCAAAAACACGCACACGCATCAGCTTAAACAGCCCTTTCATGGTTAATCCACGTTAGCATACACAGTGGGGGAGTCGTTATTTAGATGTTGTGCTGAAGTTGAAATCACACTTATGCTCCGTATCTGAAGTTAAACTCTTAAATGCAGATTGTTGGAGCAGTAGCGTTGAGACAGCTGTCAGATTAAGAGTAAACATTTGAAACTTTCCCTCTGAAATGTAGTGGAGTCGACCTAAAGTGGCATCGAATAGACACAAGTAAAATCAGGTAACTCAAACCAGGCTTCTTCTTCCAGTGAACAAATAACGTTTCAGTCTTTTTCTGGCCCAATACGAACTAAATGTCTTTTGAAACTCGTGTAGATTTAAAGTTGTTTGTTTTTCTAGCTCTAAAAGTCAAAGGCCGTTCAACTACTTTCCATTTTTTATATCGTGGCCTCGCTTAGTGACAGGACACAAACATTTGGAACATTTTCAACCAGAGTTCGAGGGTCAATGCTTCACCAAGGTAAGAGTAACACTATCTGTCCTGTTGATAACATATCTGACAAGACTCTCCTTGGCCTCCATTCAGTGCCAAAGTACAGGATCAGACTGTTGGCGTCACACTTAGTAAGCACTTGAATTAAAATAGTGAGATGAGATTCCTAAAACATGGTTGTAGTATTCTAATATTACTGTGGAGTCACTTTCCAAGATGTTTTTGAGGAGAAAGTGTCTAATAAGAGGTTTTCACAGCTGCTTCAGCAGTGCATGTTTTCAGAGAGGCATACTGTCTCCCTCGCTGAAAATCTGGGCAGTTGACGAATGAACTTGCCTTGATGGTGGCTCCCAGCCAGGTCAACACAGGATGGCTCTCGCCACCCTTGGTCACCAGAGAAACCAGTCGGGAATGCAGATCAACACTGGTTACAGATGCAAGCTCAGCATTTGGGGCAAGAGCTCTACACCGTTCCTGTAGAGCAACAAATGGTACAGAAAAATTGGTTGTGGTGATTTATAGAGGCATAAACACAACAAAAATCTGTCTTGGCAGTTCTTTAAAGCAAAGCCATCTTTATTAGGTATTGCTGAAATGGTAGAAGGTCTGACCTGTGCATCCTGGAAGGCCAGTGGTGTGGGGTTGAACTCATAGCAGTTTCCATTGATGATCTCCCCCTTACACGCCACTGTCTGTTGTTCGAATCTGGAGGAGGACGGTTCTGTTCCCTGTCTAAAGCCCTCTTGGATCGTAAGAGCGGGTTCGGTTCCCTGTCTGAAACCGGCTGGGATCCACTTCACGTTTTCAGTTCCCTGTCTGAAACCATCAGGGATGGAGTGGACGGGTTCGGTTCCCTGCCTGAAACCCGCTGGCATTGACTTCAAAGGCTCTGCTACTATTCTGAGGTCAGAGGCTGACACCGCGGGTTCCGTTCCCTGTCTAAAACCGTTGGGGATCGACTTCACGGGTTCGGTTCCTTGCCTGAAACCGTCTGGGATCCTCTTCACGGGTTC